AGCCCTACAGGCACGAAGTGAAGGCTTAGAAATATGCGAACAGTGACAAGGAAAACAAGTAAGCACGATATAATGAGCCGTAAATCACCAGTAAAAACACCCTACACCACCCTCACCAGTTATGCATATAACAATTTTTTATAATAAGGCTTTAGATGGAAAATGATCGTAGAAAACGTAGTCCGATTAAAATCATTTTTTAATAGTGTTCGCCCTCGGGTCAAAAGATGGCGGTGTACCGGGTTTCAGTAATGTATCTCAAAAATAAAATACTTTCTCGTAATATACTCGTACATCATTAAGGTTATGATCATTTTCTTTACTCCTTTACCTCTTTTTACATCTTATTGGCTACGGGATGTTGTGAAATATATCAGTGCATTTAAACTTGTTCATAAAAATTATGAATTATATACTAATTGGGACGATCAAGGAAGGCCGAAAATTAAAGTTTAAAATTAACGTAAGCGAAATTTCGTAAAAACTTTGCGCATAATTTTTAAACATAATTTCTTTCCGCGAACATCAAAATCTCCCTGCATTAGTTCAACCACTTAGGTTAATGCTTTCAAATATTATTATGATTTAATTAATGCATGTGTTAACGAGCACCGCACATCTATCTGTTGAATATATTTCTTTGTATATTAAATTATCTGTAGATTTTCGTCTATCTAAGTGAGAAATATTACATGTAGATGTGCATGTAACAAAATGGAATTACATCACCATCACTAGTTATGCATTTATCAGTATATTAAATAATTCGCTAAAAAAAAAAAAAAGAAAAAACCTTAATTTTTACAAGAATACACATAAGTCAGAGTTTGCTTTAAATATTAAAATTATTTCGAATTTTTATAAAAAAGCTACAAACATATCTAAAAAGAATATAACAACAACAATAACGTCAAGAAACCAGTTTACATTTCATATAATATACAGAAAGAAATATTTTTTTTATAAATTGTTTAACTAAAGTATTTTTAAATTAAACAGAGATTAACATTTTTCTAAAGAAAAAAAAAAAAAAGAAAAGCAAACAACTTCCAAGGAATTATCGCGCTCGCTTTACGCTTTGTAGAATTGAAATTAAATTGAAAAAATTATTATTGTTTTTTTTTTTTTCTTTCTTTTTATTAATTAACGTCAGCACATAACTGAATATATGTGACATCTATTTTATACGTAAAAACGGAAGAAATTAAATTCTCTTTTACAGTGTTTTATGCAGAGCCAAAAAACAAAAAAAAATTGAGAATTTTTCGAAATCGTCAAAATTCTTTCTTTAATTATTGAACAGAATTGCTTATGAATCTAATTCTAATTTCAATTCATTCTCTACGTGAAACTTTGTCATAATTTTCTTATCTTTTCGATTTTTAAACAAATTTTTTTCATTTTTTTCACAACACCCGGAGTAGATATCATTACTTGCACAAGGTTGTTATTAATACCCCTTAATACTGTGAGAAAATGTATTTTATCGATGACTATATTGACTTGAATTATTTGTATTTATTTTAACCCATTTCTTTGTAAGCCACGGAAATCGTCTAATGTTCCTTAAGTTAATTACTTCTTCTATATATTTATGATTTCCCGCCCGCGCGTGGGATCAAGTCATACCATGGAAAATTTACTCGGGTTAGTATGTTAAACAAAAAAAAAAAAACGTATACGTGCTGACGACCCGTAAGCGAGGCAATAGAAAAAATTCCAAAGTTCGTGTTTAATTATTAGCGAAGCAATTGGCCAAATGTCACTTTCCTATCGTTTCTAGAATGTTACAAGCAACAGATAGAAATTTTCTTTTTTAATTATTTTTGTAATTCTTTACAAAATGTTAAAGCTTTTCTAGGCATTTTTCATCCATTTTCAAGATTAATATCGGGCCGAAAACTGAAAACATCACAATCATCGTAAATGCATCGAAAAGATGTATTTGAACAATGTATGAAATATATTTCCACATTGCGTACATAGGTATCTCAAGCCAGTTCTTTTAGATAATTTTTCGTTCGATTTATTAAGGCAGGGGACAAATGTCAAAAATATAGCGTTTGGAGACAAACAATTATTGATTTATTTAAAACGGTTAAAAATAATGAATAATGACAGCAAACAAATAATAAAAAAGATTAAAATATTATTAGGCCAATAAATGGCATACTAGCATACTATAAAATAGTCGAACTGATTGCTTTTTTCACGCTAATAAATATCGCTATGACGGTCTCTGATTTGCATCTAACAAACGAAGTAAAAAAGAAAAATAAATAAATTATTGCGAGAACTAAGATAATTTAATATTTCGATTGAAGAATGAAAGAAATTTTTAAATAGTATTTGCATTATGCGTTAGCGTTAGCCTCGTACTGGTATGCATACATGTGCTAAATTATTATGGAATTTTGTTTATAAAATTTTGTTTATATATTATATACATTTTTTCCCTGATGTTCAAATTCTCTTTAAGAAAAAAAAAAAAAAAAAAAAA